AAATTCAATTTGATAAGCCTTCTTTCAATTATAAAGCTGGTCAGTACTTGTTCTTAAATGTACCCGCTATTTCTACTTGGCAATGGCATCCGTTCACAATCACCTCAGCGCCTGAAGATCCTTACGTTTCTGTTCATGTTCGCCAAGTTGGAGATTTTACTAATAAACTCGGTGATTTTCTTGGATGTGGTTCTGACTTTGATACTAAACGAAGTAAACCTTCTGTTCTACCAACTCTCCGTATCGATGGTCCTTATGGTGCACCTGCTGAAGATGTATTTAAAAATGAGATTGCTATTTTGATTGGTTGTGGTATAGGTGTTACTCCTTTTGCTTCTATCCTCAAAAATATTTGGTATGTAAAAAAAAAAAACAATCATTTATTTTATCTTGGCAATGTTATTATCTTTTTTTCTTACTTATTTATTTTTAAATCATATATATTAGGCATCAACAACAAAACAAACGCTTATCGAAATTAAAAAAAGTAGAATTCTTTTGGATATGTCGTGACACCGGCTCGTTTGAATGGTTTCAATCTTTATTGAAAACTTTAGAAGCTACTCAAATGAATGCTGGTTTCCTGAAATTCCATATTTACCTAACATCAAAACTTAGAGAATCCACAATAAATAATATAATAATTAATGATGTATCTAATTCATATGATCCATTAACTGATTTGGAAAGCAGAACACATTATGGTAGACCAAATTTTGGTTATATATTTAGTCAATTAAATCGGGCGATTATGAGTGGTCGTTATTTACCAGGCAAAGAAGGAGATCTAGTTACTAACGTAGGTGTATATTACTGTGGTCCTCCTGCTTTAGCTAAAAGTTTGAAAAAAAGATTGTGATTCTGCAAATGCTGAAGGTATAAATTTCAATTTCCATAAGGAGAATTTTTAAAAATATATATATTTTTTTTTTCATATACAATTTCCTACAACATAAAACACTTAATAATCGTCGATTAAGCTTTTTTTTTAATCTACAAAAAAATTTATTTTTAAAAGGCTTTTCTTGTTTAATATGTATATATATATTTTTGTTACTTCTCTATAGCCGGTCGTTGAGGGATCATAGCCCTGGTCACTTAATTAAAATCGAGAAGTTTGTTAATTATAATTAAAAATAAAAACCAAAAAGACGATTTAACACAAATTTTATGAATTGTTCGTAAATACGTATGCTTAAAATAAATTTCAATCTAAAAAGATTTAAGTAATAAGATATTTTTACTTAATGAATATGAGATAATTTTAGATTAATAGACTTTTTTCTACACATCTCAATTTTAAAAAACAAAACAAATAGCTACTAAAATAATAAAAGTTCTTTATTTAAATTTATTTTAAATACTTTTGCTAGCTTACCTTTTACTATTTAACTTCTTTACAATATTAAATAAAAAAATCTAAACAACAAAACCAAAGAACTAACTCCACTTCTAGTAGCAGATATAAATATCTTGTTTA